GGCCCAGGAATCAGCGTGTTTTTACATGGGTAGAATGTGTCCTTTTATTTAAAACGCATCTCTGGGTTATTTGTGGGGCATGGGAATTCGTTCACACACACACACATTCAAAATATAGTCCGCCCCCCGCCCCAAGGTCTGAGGAACAGTGGACCAGCCCCCTGCTGAAAAAGTTTGCTGACCCCTGTTCTAGAGAGCCCTTAACCTACTGGAATAACTACACAGGGACCGGAAGGAGGAATTGGACCAAAGAACCCAAAACACTTCCACTTCCTCAGTGAGAGAATTGTGTGAGTGGAGCTCTGCTCATGGGAATTTTGGATTCAACCCTGTATCTTCAGCTACACTGATTTTTCTGCTGAGGAAACCCAGACCTGCCTTGCAACCTCTGCACACTGCAGAGGATTCTGGGTCATATTCTAGGCCTTAGAATCCAAGGCAAATCTATTCAGATCATGGTAATATAAAAGGTACAGCAGATGAAAAAGTATTCTTCTCCCTAACTTTTCCTCCTCCTCTTATTTTGAAGGAGCTGAAAGAGACCTTCTGCAAATCCTTTGAAAAAGCTCTCACTCAGCCTCAGTAATCTCTTAACAAGAAACAAAGCTGTGCACTTTGCACTATATTAGCTGCAGAAGGCCATCTTATTTAAACAACTGAATGTTTTTCACTGGCTGCCTACTTGCTTCCCAGTACTGTACAACTGAAGTTGCTGCTTTTGATGTTTAATTCCTAATGGACTTGGACCTTGTGCCCCTCACAGAACACATCCTTTCGTATAATTCACCCCACTCCTTAATATCACATACACAGTCCAGGAGTTCCCACTTCCTTCCTCTCCAGTCCCTGACTTAATGTTATGTTCAAACCATGTTTTATGACTTGTCTTGCTCCATGCAAACCACAATACGAAGCTATGTTTTCTTCTTGGCTTCTGATGGTTTGCAATGCTGTGTGAGTGTAGCCTCTTTGTCTATCGTCTTACTGGAGGTGCTGCTGCACAACTTTTCCATGGCAGTGCTTCACTCCCTCCAAACAAAAGCAAGGAACTAGATGTGTGAGAACAAAATCCATTTAATACAAAAGTCCTGCTGACTAGGGGATCAGTTACTCACAATAGGGATCCGAAGTATCTGTGATGGGGTTACACTTCCCCCTAAAGAGCAAAGTTCTTGGCTTGCGGTGCTCCTTGAACCTGGTGTTGGATACTCAGGTGAGCTCCATGGTCGAGTGGGGATTCAAACCATTGTCTCTCAGGTTCTAGTCAAACACTCTAACCACTAGTCAAAACAAAAAAAATTCCTTCCAGTAGCACCTTAAAGACCAACTAAGTTAGTTCTTGGTATGAGCTTTCGTGTGCATGCACACTTCTTCAGATACACATGCACACGAAAGCTCATACCAAGAACTAACTTAGTTGGTCTTTAAGGTGCTACTGGAAGGAATTTTTTTTGTTTTGACTATGGCAGACCAACACGGCTACCTATCTGTAACTCTAACCACTGCACATCAGGCCATTTTTTTAAAAGAAGACAGTTTAAGAACCGTACTCTGTTAACTAGCATGAGTTCTGGAACATTCCCCCCACCACTGATGTAGTCAATGTAAAAGGGAAAAATGTAAAATGAGCTAGGGATTTCTGGGAGACAGTGAGCAGTTGCTAAGCATCTTTTCCTCACTAGAGGAGGAGCAGAACCCATCGAAATAACATTGGGATTACAAAACTTAGAATAACTTGTTGGGCCCAAGCACTTCTGCAGAGTAATTATTCAAGGAATTAATAAACAAGAATTATTTTTAAATTTTGAATACTATAAAAGTCTTTCAGGATTACCCAGCATATGCTAATTGAATTTCTATCATTTTCCAGATGTTTATACAGTGCTCTATATGTTGATAGAGGTCTCTGAACCTTCCAAGAGAAATGCTTTCCATGTCTGATTTATGAATAATTGTAGCCACTAAATTTATAGCAGAAGACAATCTTTGAACATTGTCTTTTGAGTGGAGTAAGCAATCTGAAACCAAGGGACCTCTATTTGGATGCTTTTCCAGTTGGGAAAGGCTTGTGAGCAGACCTGTCTTTCTGCTGGAGAAAGTTCACTTGTTTGCTGTTGATCCATGCCTGCCTGTTCACTTGAATTATTTGGTTTACTAGGCATTATCTTAACAGACTTGTTTCCAAGACAGTTATTCCTGCATGACCTAAATCTTTTGTTACTCACAGCAGCATGTGAGCAATCTATTTTTAGCTACAACTTTTTCTTTTAACAGAAGTCTGAGTCATTGCCACTCAGGTATGCCTTCACACCTTTCTTGTTGCATAATCTCAGCTGTCAAATTGGCTTGATCAGGATTTGAAACACTGATTTAACATGATGATAACCCAGAACCTCCTTGGGCCAAAAAGCCATGTCCTCTTAAAACTGCAAGCTCAGCCTGTAATTCCAGAGCAGAGGGGAAGCTCTTGTCATGCACCCAGACTAGAAAACTCATGTTTGCAGTCAGACATTAAAACACAGATTCCCAATTTGGCTGTTACAGAAAACTGATTCAAGAAACCTCAGAAGTACTGAACTGTGACATATCAGAGTAGGGAGAAGGAAATGGAAAGAGCAGGCACAAAGCTGGTGAATAATTCTCAGGCTTCATACACTGAACCATGCTTAAGTAATTGTAATATTAGTGCTATACCATTACAATGAGATGTGTTCACACATTACATTCAGTGAGTATGCAACCTGTGAATACACCAGTAGTTGTAGTCTGTTTATCTGTGTACACAGTAGTTGCTGTACAAATCAACAAGTGTACATGTTCACAGAAATACTTGTGCATTGGTGGAGAAAGTTTGTATTTGCATTCAATGCAGATTGTCTATGGTCTACTCATATTACGACCGTTTTCACCACCTTATAATACTTACCAATGGTTGTGTTTTAAAGTCAGTGTAGCCTACCTTATTGGGTTATAATGTTAAGGTGCTGAGACATATTTATTGGAGGATTAACAATAAATTTAGTAAGTAATGCTACAATCCTATAGACCAGTGGCTCCCAATTAGCTAAGTACTGCAGAGTAATACATATCCCCTGTTTTTCAATAGCCAAGCCATGGACTTTTGAAAATATTGACAAATCTATGGTAGTTATTGTTACGTGAAAGGTGCTGCAGACCACTGCTATAGACAGGTTTCCTGGGAGTAAGTCTCACGAACTCAATTGCTCTTTTTGTGAATAGGCATGCATAGGATTGAAATGCAAATTATTTAAAAGTAGTGTTGCCAATTTGCAGCACAATTCGCTTCTACAAGTTTTTTCATCATATATCTTTTACCACTGCTGTTACAACATTTCAGAAGTTAAAACTAAGCTGGTGTATTATCAATATATGCCTATTCATGATATTATTTTGTTATGTGTTATTGATTGATTTCTATGGAAGTAAATTGGCCATCAATAAGGGAGAAAGGGGTTGCTAGTATTAATCATTACACACAGAACCTCTGCCAGAATTCTAAACTTACTGCCCTGGGCTTCTTTGGAAGGAAGGTCATGACACAAATTTAATAAATACTTGCAAAACGAGAGAAATGGTACCCACAGAGATCTGATGAAAGCGACAACAAAGTATTGCCCAAGACAAGGCAAACTTTGCATAAAAAGCACAATTAAGTTTCCAGTTCTCATGCTTCTGGAGTACAGCTTGAAAACGTGTGACCGCGTTATGTGACTGGGGGACTGGCACCTGATCCAATGTGTACCCTGAACCTAACCCACAGAGTTTAAAGGGAGTTACTTTCTCCCTATTTAAACCAGTATTTGTATAGCACATCAAGGTAGCAACTCTCTCTTTGCCCATTTACCTGGGAGTAACACGGGGCTTACTTCTTTCAGAAGCATGCCCAAAAGCCTGCACTGCAAGTCAACTCTCCTGATCGCCGCCAACCCCCATCTTCAAGAGTGGCAACCAAGTTCTGATTTTGCACTTGGCGATCGGCTAGCTACAAAACCTGACACCGGCCACTCTGGGGCAGCTTTCCTCGCCGTGACCAAACCAACCCCGGAGGTGGCCGAGGGAGGAGCACGCGGATGACCAAGCCACGGCGCAATTCTACGCCGCGTGTTACTTTATTTTTATACAGCTGCCTTCAGGTAAACGTAGCCCAGGGCAGTTCACCAGGTTTTATCCAGGCGCCGCCCTACTCCCCTGAGTTGCTCGGAGCTTAATCCTAAATGTGTTTAGGATTGCAGCCTAAACCTAGACCTGCACGCCGAGCTGCTCTGAGGCAGCGGGAGGAGGAGAACCACGGGGAAAACCCCCTCGCCCTGCAAAGAGCGAGGCCGTGCAAGAGGGCGGCTTCTCCTCCGAAACCTGCATGCGGCACATGGCCGGGCTGATCGGACCCCGGAAGGCTGCTGCTCCATCTGGCTGCTGCCAGAAACAAAGGGCGGCGGCGGCGGCCCCCGAGCAACCCTGGAGGCGCACCTACAAAGGCACCTGCGCCTCTGCAAGCAACGTGGCGCGGCTGGGCTGCCCGGAGCCCGCGGCGGCTAGTCGGGCGAAGTACCTGCACCATGATGGCCAGGCGGAGCGAGTCCTTGGCGATGTTGTCGCCGCATTTCTTGCAAGAAGCCCGGCCGCTCTTGGCGTACTCGGCCCGGTACATCTTCTCTGCAGGCTCCGCCATAGCTGCACCAGCAAGCCGACCGAAAGCAGCTCGGGCTAAGGAGGAGGAGGAGGAGAGGAGGCGGCGGCAGCAGCAGCAGCAGCAGCGGCGGCGCCAAAAAACCAGCCGGATGGCTTCTTACACAGCCAGGCTCCCGCCCCTCGGTGCCGAGCGCAGAGCGATCGAGCCGCGCCCCGTCCAAGCCGTCTTCCTTTCGGCGATCGATTAGCCGCGCCGCGCCCAGGAGTCCTAGGTCTCGAGAGCGACCCCCACAAACTCTCCACGGAGGATGACGAGGAATCGTCGCGCTCGGCTGGCGGAGCCGCGAGGGAAAGGGCCGGCGGTCACGTGGTCGGCGAGGGCGTGCTATGGAGTTGCCCTCGGCGTTTAAGGGCGTTCTCCCTTCTCCCTCTCTCCGCCTCCTCTGGGTGACGGCACGTGCTTGCTCCTTTTTCGGTAGGCAATCCTTTATGGAGTAGCCTGTGCCGTGACTGAAAAGCCCTTCCGGATGGAATGCTGCTAAAGTCAGGCTGTTGTCCTACGCGCGCATGTCCCTGGGAGTAAGAACCCATTTGGGTCTACTTCTGAGTAAACAGGCATAGGGTTTCAGGTCTACTTCTGAGTAAACAGGCATAGGGTTTCAGGTCACTTTCAGGTTGTGTAGAGCAGAGGACAGGCAAGCTTTTTGGGATGTGCGTGTTTGTGTGGTATGATCCAGTGTTTTGCTGTTACCTATAAAGCTTCCACGGTCAGTCCGGGAAGTAACTTGGTTAAGAGCAATGTTTCTTCCCCTGCAGATTATTCTAGATTCCCCAAGCTTCCCCTGAAAATCAATTTCCTCAGGACATTCGCATGTTATAATGGTTTACCGCAAAAAGATCCTCGTGCATGAGTAGATGGTATTTCTGCTTAGCTGGGAGTTAGCATTATTTATATTATATTTAATTGATTTTTTACAAAACATCTCGTTTTAATAATATTTTGTATTAATTTTCACAATGAACATTACATTAAAAAAAATAAAAAGACATAAAACAATTAAAACAACTATGTACACTCTTAATATTAAATCCATATTTTGGGATTCCTTTGAATCCCCTGACTTCCCTCCCCTCCCTCCCCTGGTTCCTTTGTATTATTTTCATTTATGCATGTCAACAAAGAATCTTTTATCTCTAATTACCTCCTAATTTAAACATTGTCCATAGCGTTACAAGTGTTTTAAAAATCCTGCTAATGTATTTACTTCCTTACATTGCTTTTGTATATATGCAATAAACATTTCCCATTTTTTAAATATTTGTTTTCTAAGATTTCCAGTTAGTTTAGCCATTTTCGCATTTTCCATTAACTTAATTTGCCAATCTTCCTTAGTTGGAATATCTTCTTCTTTCCAGTGCTGGACTAGCAGTATTCACGCAGCCGTTTTTGCATACATAAAGTTTTATACTCTTTAGGTAGATCAGCTCCTGTAATTCCTAATAGAAAAGCTTTTGGTTTCTTAACAAAGGTTATTTTAAACATTTTTTTCCAATTATATATCATTTCCTATTTTTAAAAAATAACCTTACATTGCCACCACATATGATACGTAAGTTTTATGATTTTTACGAAACATCTCAGTGCCTTCCAGTGGCCTTCCAGATATTGCTCGACCACAACTCCCATCAACACTAACTATTGTTCCTTCTGAATGGAACCAATAGGAGTGGAGTCCAACAGCAACCAGAGGCTTACAGGTCTACTACCGTATAGAACTGCCCTTGATTTAGGACCAACTTCAGAATACTTCCTGCAGAGACCTTCAGAGTTGTTCTCCCACACTATTAGGCAGGAGACAGCAGCTTTCAGTGCTAATGTCACAGGCTACTGGTTTTTGTATGTACAGTGGTACCTCGGGTTAAGAACTTAATTCGTTCTGGAGGTCCGTTCTTAACCTGAAACTGTTCTTAACCTGAGACACCATTTTAGCTAATGGGGCCTCCCGCTGCCGCTGCGCCGCCCCCGCCTGATTTCTGTTCTCATCCTGAAGCAAAGTTCTTAACCCGAGGTACTATTTCTGGGTTAGCGGAGTCTGTAACCTGAAGCGTCTGTAACCCGAGGTACCACTGTACACACACACACATATTGGGAAGCAACCAAAATGGAGACAATGGATTGCACCTCCGGGGGTGAAGTCAACATGCTGCGTTAGTAGCACCAAAGTAACCTGCCTAGGGCACAAGCCTGGGCAGAGTGTATGGAGGTCCAGACAACAAGACCCACCTCTCAGCCTTGCTGATGTAATCAAAAGGAAATCAGAACAGTATGTTTGGCACCAGCTTGACTGCAGGAGTTGCTGGGAGGAGGCATACAGGGTGTCATCCAACCATCTTGGGGACTCTACTCTGGATTTGTGTAGGCTTTCCTTCTTGGCCTCTTGAAGGGGTCACGTGGGGTAGCAGAGGTTAAGGATGAGAGTTCCTTCTAGATGGGCTACCTTCCCAGGTTGATAAGCCCCACCTGCTCTTCACTTAAGCATGTGCAGAAACCACCTTCTTGATCTTGGGATCTACTGTTAGTCTCATCCTTTGGTCCCCACCCTGCACTCAGCTCTCACTTGTGGCTCCTAGAATCAGTTGGCATGCAGCAGTGGTCATACGCCGACAATGGCTTCAGCCGGCCGGCTAAACCAGTTGAGGGTAGCCGATGGGTCTCAAACCTTTGGTGAGTTAGGGACTTCCCCTGCATGCTTTTGGATAACATAATTGTTATAGCACCAAATTATTATATGTATTTGTTCAGGAAATAGATGGATTAGGGAATTGGAAACTTGCTTTACAGTCACCTTGATTTAAACCAGTCCGCTGAGGACCTGATCTGAGGACGCATTTCTTATGAAAGAGTAAAAATGGACAAAAGAAAGCATGCAAGGCCACTTGAAATTACATGTTCTCACTCCCAGTGAAAAGCTTCAGTTCCCAAAGGTGCTTGAACATAACTTGAACTGATAAGGTGACCTAAATTCAGCAGACGCAGGCTGCCCTATTTATAAAGATCTGTCATCAAGAGATAACCAGCAGATGAGTTTTCATGATGCATCTGTTAATTCAGGTAGGAACTGTAATGGACTCTTAACCGAGGTTTTATGGATAGAGAATTATTTGGGGGGGGTTGTGTCCATTGCTTAAACTAACTATGTAATGAATATTATAAATAGGGAAATGCATCAGCGGATTTGTTTGATTTGGTATTGTGAAGGTAATTGTGTATTAATGCAAATATTATAATGCAAATATGCTACTACTGCAAATAACAACAGTAACAGCCTGCCACCAGTATACAGGTTATAGGATTTGGGTGAAGAACAACTTGTAAATAATTGAAGTAAGTAATAAATAAACCTGACCGTGATAAGCACACCAGAGGGTCATCTCACTCCCTTTCTCTACCATGAACTGATCAGTCAGGTGCTATATAGGAGGCTGGGAACCATTCTTGTGGAATCAACTAAGCATCAATGACAGATGGCCATCCAACCTCTGTTTAAAAACTTCCATTGCAGTCCCTCACCTTCCAAGGGAGTCTGTTCCACTATCAAACAGCTTTTACGGTCAGAAAGTTCCTGATGTTTAGTCTGAATCTGCTTTCCTGAAACTTGAATCTATTGGTTTGGGGACTCCAGATCAGGAGAAAATAAGCTTGTTCCATCCTCCAAGTGACAGCACTTTAGATATTTGAAGATGGGTATCATATCTCCTTTCAGTCTCCTCTTTACCAGGCTTCACATACTCCTTCCAACGTTCCTCACAAGGCTTGGTTTCCAGACCCTTGATCATCTTGGCTGCCCTCTGCTACACATGTTCCAGCTTGTCAATATCCTTCTTAAACTGCGGTGCCTAGAACTCCAGGAGTGGTCTGACCAAGGCAGAATAGAGTGGTACTATTACTTTCCTTGAATATACATGAAATAAATACACCTGCCATCCCCTGTATGCAGAGTCCTGTGACACTACAGAACCAAAGAAGCATGCTCTGTTTTCCTTATCTGAAGAACCCCATAGGGCAGGCATAGGCAAACTTGGCCCTCCAGATGTTTTGAGACTACAAGTCCCATCATCCTTAGCTAACAGAACCTGTGGTCAGGGATGATGGGAGTTGTAGTCCCAAAACATCTGGAGGGCTGAGTTTGCCTATGCCTGCCATAGGGGATGCTGCAGGCAGTCCCTAATCTAGATATGCCTGAACACTGAGCTATTTGGGACACAGAGTCTGGCTTGATGGCATCTTCCGCAAAATCTGCCTATGTTGGGAAGGGGAGAAATTTGATTATCTCTGCACTAGATGGCACCACAGCTACAGTTAAAATGTGGCACATATAGGAAACACTCTGTGGTGAAAATGGAAGAGAGTCACTCTTGCGTTCACATTCCTTCCTAAGGGCCAAAGGACCACCTTTGTTGACTGTGACTTTGCACTGGCAGGTGTGAGTTTTTCTTAAATGATAGCAGGGCAGGGGCTGGAAGGAGAGAAAAAAGGGGGCAGAAAATACTCATTGCAGTGCAGAGGGAAATGGTCTAATGGTATTTTCACTTTTGCCATGTTCCAGATCTGAACTGGCCCCTCCAAGGATGTGATTTAACACTGATAGACACATGCACAATACAATGTTACCTCGGGTTAAGAACTTAATTCATTCCAGAGGTCCGTTCTTAACCTGAAACTGTTCTTAACCTGAAGCACCACTTTAGCTAATGGGGCCTCCCGCTGCCGCTGTGCCGCAGCAGCGCAATTTCTGTTCTCATCCTGAAGCAAAGTTCTTAACCCGAGGTACTATTTCTGGGTTAGCGGAGTCTGTAACCTGAAGCGTCTGTAACCCCAAGTACCACTGTATGTAGTTTGGCCAAGGAAATAAGTTCCAGGATGTTGTTTTACAGGGACGGATTACTTGGGATGCAGGAGTATACCTGTGATGCGTGGTGTTTTTGTCATTTATTTTTATTTGTAAATATACAAACCAAGTAAGAGGAAGCAGGCAGACACCCAGAGAGGCATCTGCTAGTCTTTGAAGCTACATCAGAGGCAACAGCATATGCCTGTATCTACCCAAGGCTACGTCATGCCAGCCAGCAGCAAGCAAGCATTCAATCTGTTTTTCTCATCATTGCTTTTTAAAAATCATGCTTTGTTTTTTTTAAAAAAAGACGTCAAGGCAATTCACAACAATTAGGTGAAAAGTTAAATAAGAGCTATCAAAAATACCAGCACTACATTAAAAAACCACCCTCAAATCATCAATGTAAATCAATGAAATATCCTGACGTTGAGCTGGAATCTCCTTTCTTGTAACTTGAAGTCATTGGTTTGGGTCCTACCCTCTGGAGCAGCAGAAAACAAGCTTGTTGCATCTTCCATGTGACAGCCCTTAAGATATTTGAAGATGGCTATCATATGTCCTCTCAGTCTCCTTTTATCCAGGCTAAACATACCCAACTCCTTCAATTGTTCCTCATAAGGTTTGGTCTCCAGACCCTTGATCATCTTAGTCACCTTCCTCTGCATATGTTCTAGTTTGTCAGTATCCTTAAATTGCACTGCCCAGAACTGGACACAGTATTCCAGGTGTGCTCTGACCAAGGCAGAATAGAGAGGTACTATTGCTTCCCTTGATCAGGACCCCATAGTTCTATTGATGCAGCCTAGAATAGCATTAGGGGTTTTTTTGTTTGTTACTGTTGATTCATGTTAATCTTGTGGTCTGCTAAGACCCCTAGATCCTTTTCACAATATACATCAGGAGGCTTAGTTTGGTCAGAATTGAGTCTACACATCCAGAGTTAACACTAAATACGACTAAACAACAACAACAACAAATTTTACTTTTGGTCAGTGAGCCATCATAGCAGCTAGAGGGCACAAAAATTTGTGTCCTGGTTTTTTTAGACTCGTCTGCCCATGTACTATATGAAACCAAAGGGGCACATTGGTTGCCAGATGTGATTTTTTTCAGATCTCCTACCCCACTATTTCTCCTCCAGCTCCAGCCACCTGAGAGAATGTCAGAGCCTTAAAGGGCCAGCCCTCTGGCCTGAAGGTGAGTCCTACTCTATAGCCTTCCTTCTGGTGTGTTCCTGTCATTGCTGAACTGACAATGTGGCGTGGGTGGCATCTGGTTCTTCAGGGGGTCTCAAGGGTCCAGGATCTGGCCTTATAGGCCCTGGTGATCTGAAAGGTTCCTCTGAAAATTCTTAACCAACTGCCTCAGGTGCAGTGGTCTTCCTCCGCCAGCTGTGAGCCCTGACCCAGACCTAGCTCCCC